ATTAGGTGCTCATGTTCATTTTGTAAAATTGAGATGCAAATGTTGGAAATGTATGCATGTGTTTTGAACTCAAAATATAATGGAATTTGCCTTCAAGCAATTGTTCAATTGGAAATTCCCTAACAATTGTGCATAGATAAACAGTCTGCATTTCCAATTTGCCTCACAATTGTTCATACATAAACATCTTTCATACAACTTCACTTGGGAAATTACAAGAAACATACCTTTCATACACAAATAATTTTGATTTTCCAAAATGTCCCACAAATGGCCACAAAATACATCACCCAACTCTTCTAAGATATAGACCCTAAAATGTAAGTGCTAATTTCACATTCTTGGAAGATCCAGAGTCTCTCCATTCCAGTACTAGCATTCCCAACAACACAATAAAAAAAAATCCAAGAACCCAGAACACTTGCTCGTAGAAATCTTTGTGCTTTCAAGGCAGCTCCAACCTCTTTTTTCAATTTTCGGTTTTCCTCTTCTTCCTTACGCAATCGTTTCAATAGTCCAGATATCACAATCTTGGACCTTTCGCATACCTGTGGATCATACCATTCAAAGAATGCACAACCTCTTCTGACCCCATATTCGGCGCAGCCCCAAAATCTTCTCTCAGGGTTGTTGTCAGTCCACGACGTCGTTAGACGACATTTATTGTCGCAGTGACAAATGGGCTGGCCTACTTCGCATCTTCGATTTGTAGACATCGTCGTCTTTGTCTTCTTCGAATTGGAACATGGGCATCCACTTCTATTGATTTGAGGGCTAGGTCTGAGTGGGGCCTTAGATATGGAACATGATTTGGGGGTTTTTTGTTTTTCTTTTTTGAATTAAACTAAACCACGTGTTGTTTTGGGCGCGAAACCCAAGGACCTGATCTGCCGAAAATGCCCTTAAAAACTTGTCCAGCTAGACGCCATGTAGGCACATAACAAATTTCCTGACGGATTCGCTAACGGAGGGGTAATCTGTAAGTTTTCGCGACGTTGTGTATGTACCCATAAATGTCCCCAAAATCGGGTATGAACTCGTAAATGACCCTATAGGTTGGGGGGTTTACTGTAGTTTACCCTCTTTTTTTTGGACATGGGATCATTAAACTCCATTAGATTAGTTCAATGGTTAAGATTTTATTAAATGTTTATAAATGCATCAATGATAAATGCAGAGGCTCAAGATTCTTGCTTAAAACCTTGTAGGTCAAGGAAATCGGGAATTAAAAAATGGTTAAGAACTCTCAGGTCAACATAATTCCTAATTCTATTTAGTAGGAAATCGAGAATTAAAATAAATCAATTACATTTAATATAGGAATTCTTGGCCTACAAGAAAAGTCAACTTATACCACAAGTTACGCCAACATAAATTAGAGGGATTTTTCACACACAACTTTTATGTTATGGGGGTTCAAACCTGAGACTTTTGACGGGCAAATCAAGGCTATTTTCCATTAAAATGTTGAATTGAGGCACAAGGGAATTTTAGGGTAAATTTATTCAGAATTGAAAGTATTAATTAATAAAGGATAATATGGTAAATTTATAATCCTAATTTTTATATTAATAAAAATAAAAATAAAATCAGAACATGATTGGAAGACAACTACCCATATTTCTTAAGAAAAATTAGTCTAAAATAATAACCAATTATGTGTTAGTTGGATTGGCCTAGGCCTTTGGTGCTCTCCCAAGTGGTCCTCGAGTTTAAAAACTAAGTATTTTATATTTGTAAATTTTTTACAATGTGACTCCGCCATTAGCCTAGCAGTCATAAATATCGTTATGTGATAAGATGTTACTTTCGGGGCACAATATTTTTGACATCTCTCCATCTTATACAGTTTTCATTTTCTTTTTTAACTTTAAAAGTTGGAAGATTGAATACATAGTCTGATATGGTTGCCCTTTTAGCCCACATATACACATATTTAGCTCCAATTCAGATTTTGGAGTTACAAAACTGGAAATTGTCGGATTGTGTGGGATGGGGTTCAGCCGGTATGGTGTTGTGAATCTCATCGGTTGCCCAAAAGGATGTGGAGCAGTGATCTTGTTTCCTGTTTCTTTGAGTTTTGTATTTTAGTTTTCGACTTCGATATGAATTTACTGTTTCTACTATTGCACGGTGGATCAACAACATCGTCTTTAACGAAAATTGTTGCAAATCACCTAATTGTTTTATGACAATGTTGTTTTATTTTATTTTATTTGTTCGCTCTTATGCACAAGTAGATTGCTGCAAATCATATTTCCCCATATCTGTTACGGATGTTGTGATGTGTGTGACCGCGACAACACTTCTTTAGATGGTGGTGATAGGGTTCATTTAAGCTCATGGGTTGCTTTAGGGTTTTGGTTATGTTGGGTTTGTGGGCGTTGTTTGGGCTTAGTAGTTTTAGTACGACTTTTGTCTGTTCTAGTTTTGTTTTTAACATTTTAGTTTGTTTCCCTCTTGAGATTGGTACTTTAGATATCATGTTGATGTCTTTACCTGTACTGTTGAAGTTTATCTTTGATAATAATAAAAAAAGTTAGACAAATATATTCTTCATAACCCCACATTTTTCATTAGAGTTTGATGGTCTCATAACCAATTTTCATTTAATTAAATTTTTGTTTATTTCCTTTTAAAAAATTATTTTGGTTAAATTTATATTGGATGCCTGTAGAATCATGTTTGCTTGCAGGTTCTTGTAAAGCAAACTTATTGTTTCAAGATCAACAATCATGCAGCATTTCCACTTGATCAGATCATGTTAATTAGAGCAATTGCTGCATGATTGTTAATTACGTTTGTAGGGGACTTTTTCTTCCGGCAGCTATAAATGGGCTGGGCTGCCGTAAAGGGCAGATTGATGAAATTGTCCCCTTTGCCTGAGTTCGAAAATGAAGCCCCAAAAATGCTTCGAAAAGGCAGTAGAGCCTTAGGAAGCATTTTGGTTACCTTCACCGACTAAAACAACAGCAATTTACAGATAATTTATGTATGCTTACAGATAAAATTTTGAGCTTGGCATGAGAGGCATATGGCATGGAAGAAAAATCAACATGAGTTTAGCACTGAGGGGAAATTTAGGCTTTCTTGGGGGCAAAATGGAGTGTTAAGGTAAGAAATGAGAAGTTTTGTAAGAGATTTGGCTAAAAAAGAAAGAAATAGATAACAGAGTTCTTCCGGCAGCTTGACAGATGCTCTGTCTGCCAGAAGAGAAGAATGGAGAAGAAAGGTGAATTGTGCACGAGATTGCTGGGTTTTTGCAAGTTAGAGAGAAAGCTTGCTCTCTGAATCTGGGTTGGATTTGTTAGGTAGGAGAGGCTTCATTTTATAGCCGCTGAAAACCATCACTTCCGAAGAAACCCTAATGGCTTCTATCCATTTGGCCAAGCTTTTCCCTTCCTTTCTCATCTCCCTCCTTGGCTTTTCCCATTTTGATGAAATCTCTTCTGTCTATTTGCACCAGATCAGAGTTTTTTGAAGCTCAAGGCCCCTTTTTCTCGCAGCTGTCTCAATGGCAGACTTCCATTCCCAGCCATCTCTTTTATTACTTTCTTCTCTTTTTTTCCATGGCCATGTCTGATGGGAAAATGAGTTGGGATATATATATATATATATATATATATTAATGTATGCATTTTGAGTTTTTCTTTTGGCTTCTCTTGACAATTTTGTAATAGGACAATCATTGTCATTTCCCAAGCTCTAAGTCTAGATTAAGAATTTCTTATCTAGGTTTTCTTATCTAACTACATTATGATGGACAACATTGTGTTTGACAAAGGTAAGTTTTGCATTGCATTAACCTATTCCTGGAAGATTATGACTAGTCATCCTCCATATGACTAGTCATCCTCAACTTTTGCGTTAGTAAGGTTTTCTATGTCATTGTTTCCAGCTAGATCCTACCCACTTTTTTGTCCTATTCTACGAAATCCTTTGCTACCTTGTACGATTCTAACCTAGGAATTTTTGTGTAAAAATGCATGCATTCCTCATTTGATAGCCGTCACTTTGGGGGACAAGTTTTGGAAAGTTTCATAGCAAACTTTTGCTTCTTCTTCCTCAAGAGTAACCTTCATATTTTTCATCTTTGAGTTTTCCAAATTGTTTCTTTTTTAAAACTGCATTTGAAATATGAAAACTTCATCTTGCTAGATCAAACACTCTATTATATATATATAGGTCAGATTCAAGATTGATTTCTTCAAGAGTATGGTTTCTTGAAGAAATTGGTCATTTTCTCCATGAATCCAGATTTCATTTCTGTCTGAGTTAGAGCTTGCAAGCTGGTGTCATGGGATGAATGAGCTGGAGAAGGAGCTGCCATTGCCATGAAGAACTAAGCTTCAAGCTTTGCTAAGTTGGAGAAGAAGATTGCACAAAGGAGGTATAGCTCATCTTCCTAAATAGATCTAGGTTTTTCTTGAGCTTGCTTGTGTTCCTTTGTAAGAATCTTTTTCTACTTAGTGGATTGCCTGGTCGGTTGATGACCCCCCGTTTTTCCCAATGGTGGGTTTCTGGGTGAACAGTTTATGGTTTCCATCTCTGTAAATTTTCTGGGTTTGTGTTCTTGATAGTTGACTAGTCATCTGGGTTTGCGCAGTTGACTAGTCATCTTTTTATGCTGTTTGGTGTTTACTTGATTATGCTGTCTTCACACACTTTCACCATATTGTTGCTAGCACAGGGGATGCCTAGATTGACGGGTCATTCTGAGTGCCTAGGTTGTCACTAGTAATTCTCTAGGCTTGCAGGTACATTCATATCTAACAGTTGACTAGTCATAAGAGTATTTAGTCAAGGTCTAGAGTGTGTGAAGTTTGCTGCGTTCTTGGTTGAAT